TGATGTTTATCTGCTTACCCCCAGGGCATCCAAGATGTAGGTGACTTTGTTTCTTCAGTTGAACACATTTGATGATTTTTAAGTCCAACCGTTGCAGTCTATCAGCGTATAATGCATGGCAATGGTAACACAATCTATGAGTGTAAAAAAAAACATGCACAGACAAATCCAAATTAAACCCTGCGGCTCGTGACAACACATTGATGTTGAAATAGCCAGGGCTGGCGGCGTGTGATGGGGCACACCTGAACCGAATGGAGCCTCATAGCCGCTGCTGTTTAAATGCCGAGCGCGCCTCTCCTCGGGAGACTGGTCTCTTCCCCGTGCATGCACGCTGGTGTCCTCGTGCGTCCAGGAGGGGTGTGTAGAGGGACTCCCGTGCCGCCAGAGTCGTGAGCTGCCGGACCCGCAGTCCGGATGAGAACCGCACCCGGTACACGGCCGTCGGGCAAGGATGCTGGGCCATCTAGTCCCGTCAAGCGCTGTGGGCAGAGAGAAGGACGAAGTCGCTGATAGAAGCTGCCGCCCCTCGCGCCCCGGACCGGAGAGGGGAGCGCGTGCGGCCACCGGACTCCACCCCTTACCTGGACCCTTCCTTCCTGACCACTGCCCTTCCCTTCACGAACCCCGCAGCACGACGCGGACACCAGATTCCCTGTTTATTTTGGACACTTGATTCCCTTTTTAGTCCCGTCAAGCGCTGTGGGCAGAGAGAAGGACGAAGTCGCTGATAGAAGCTGCCGCCCCTCGCGCCCCGGACCGGAGAGGGGAGCGCGTGCGGCCACCGGACTCCACCCCTTACCTGGACCCTTCCTTCATTCCTTCCTGACCACTGTCCGTCCCTGCACGAAACCCGCAGCACGACGAGGACACCAGATCCCCTGTTTATTTTGGACACTTGATTCCCTTTTTTCTGGACACTTTGTTTATTTTCTGTTAATAAACCTGTGTCTGTCATTTGCTCCTCCCGCGACAACACACCCATTAACATAAACTGCGCCAGAGCGCGTACACATCTCACGCACAGGAAGTCGTGCACGTGCTCGAAGCAGTTGGACATAGTGGTGTATTAGAGGTAAAAAAAAATGATATAAATACTGTTCGGTTTCTGGCACAAACGATCGTTTCGTGTGTTGGGACATCAATGTGTCGTCACGAGCTGCAGAGTTTAATTTGGATTTGTCTGTGCATGTTTTTTTTACTCTCATAGACTTTGTTACCATTGCCATCCATTATAAGACTGATGGACTCCAATGGTTGGACTTATAAACCTGTGTCTGTCATTTGCTCCTCCCGCGACAACACACCCATTAACATAAACTGCGCCAGAGCGCGTACACATCTCACGCACAGGAAGTCGTGCACGTGCTCGAAGCAGTTGGACATAGTGGTGTATTAGAGTTAAAAAAAATGATATAAATACTGTTCGGTTTCTGGCACAAACGATCGTTTCGTGTGTTGGGACATCAATGTGTCGTCACGAGCTGCAGAGTTTAATTTGGATTTGTCTGTGCATGTTTTTTTTACTCTCATAGACTTTGTTACCATTGCCATACATTATAAGACTGATGGACTCCAACGGTTGGACAAATGTGTTCTACTGAAGAAACAAAGTCACCTACATCTTGGATGCCCTGGGGGTAAGCAGATAAACATCACATCTTCATTTTTGGGAGAACTATCCCTTTAAGGATATCGAATTTAAAAACTCATGACACAAACACATTTTTTGGTTTAGTCTTTTTGCCGCTGCTTTTTACTTTCAAGCTTGGCGTTCTTCAAGCGCTTTTCCAGCGTGCTTGTGGCCGTATGCCTGCTGCTCCTCTACCATCATGAGGAGATAAGCCATCTAGTCTCGTCAAACTCTTCTTTTCTTTCTTTTCCATTGAGAGTTTCATGTTCTAAGTTAAGTTTTGTTGCAAAGCTGTGTTTTTTTTACCCTGTGAAGAGTGTTTTGCCCTCCTCAAAACTTTAGCCAGCGTGCACGACTCCGCACCCATCCTTCAGCCAACGCCCAACAATTGGCTTTCCCAAGACATCACTCTGGATGCTACTAGACCTCCAGTGAATCAACAACCTGGGAAACCTCCTTTCAGCACATCAACAAAGGGAATCCCCTAACACAGACAATGCAAATGTAGCAGAGTGAGCTATAGACCCAGTATAATTGGCTGGCGTTACCCAGGTGAACCTATCAGTGTTCATACTTTATCATGGTTTGGTAAGTTTCATGAGCCAATTAGTGCCTGTGTGCCTATAAAAGGGGGAGTGTTTGGTTGCTTGGGATGCATCATCCTTGGTACCGCCCCTTTGTGACATGTGGCGCTTTGAATGAGTGCCAGCAGTTGGGTTATCCTCCTGTCTGTCGTGTGCTGGCTGTTGGCCAGTTTTCAGGTTTGTCCCGGTTTTAAAAATGCCTTTTTGCCTGTTAAATAGAGGCTTATTACCTTGTTTGTTTCTAGATATGGGCCTGCCAGTAGCTGTAATCCTGCGTGGTGAGCGACCATGTGTATTGCAGCATTGTACTGTTTTCTTGGTAGGTATGGCTAGTTTTAAAGTTTGTTTTAAATAAGTTTTTATGCATAACTTTTGTTTCATGTCCAGCAGGATTGATTGCACGTCCAGGGGTTTCTAATGATCTTAATTGAAGCCTAATGAACCTCACGTAACTGACTGCACTTCTGCTCTACTCTACTTTACTCTGTTTTGTTCTGTCTGGAATTCATCTGGGTCCGTCTGTTATATTATGTTTGGTGTGTGGATTTAGGTGGGAGGGGTTGGCCATGGTACCTTGTACTGCGTGTCCACATGGAGTGCTGT